CCTTAAAAACTACTTGTTTTGAGGGAACTAAATTTCACCACAACCACACTGAAAATCGTACATTTTATTTTAGCACATATTTAAATTACTTTTCTCACAAATAATATTGCTTTACTTCATTTTCTACCTTTCAACAATATGAGATTGGTGATCTTAATACATGTCAACATGCAGGATATTGTAAGGATAAAAAAACAGAGGTAATTTGCAGTGGCCTTATCTGATCATAGACATGAAATTCTAATTCTGAATAATGCAATGCATGTTGAGCATCTGGGACAGTTGTTGAAATAACCTGTATCATATCAAAACTTTCCTGAATAAAATCTTTCTCTGGTGGAATATAGTTTTCTTAGAACAAGTAGTTTCTAAAATAAATAATTTTAACTATGTAGTTGTCTTTACACAATCTCTCTATATAAAGGGTATATACTAATCCTCTTAATAGATGTGTGTGTGCAAAATAAAGCTCATAAATAAAGAATCTTTGTATTATCTTTGTTTTTTCCACCACATCATAATTTGTGTGCAATTTCAAAACACAGTTTTGCCTACACATGAAACTTGTACTAACACTGTAAAGCAAATTAGTAACCACTTCCTCAAATGAAAAATGGATGGCAAAAACAGAGAAATATACACACTGCTGTAAAGTGATGTTACATCATACTTGTTTTAATATCATGGACATTCACCCAATGATTCATACAGAAAACTTTCTGTAATTTCAATGCATGTTACCAAAATACATTAACTTCAAAATCATAAGTAAAGCTGCTTGAAATATTCCTATACAAAATATTTGTTTTAGAAAGATTTTTTTCAGTTTCACTGTAGCCTAACACTAATTTTTTTCTCCATCTGATATAGAATTTTCACTGTTTTTAAAAGATAAAATATAAGATGTATGACAGTTTTTCAAAATACTGGCACCAGGAATAATAAGAGAAAGAGCAAAAAACTCAACAACAAATACACCTTTAATCTTCAAAATGGTGACTGGTCTTGTGACTAAACCATTATTTTACGAAAATCACGAAATACTTTTTTTGACAATGTTCAGTGCTGTAAGCTGATGAGCAATGAAACCAATGAACCTAATATTTGTGATAAGAAAATCAGAAATTTCTTTCACATTCTTCTTAATTAGTTCATTACAGATTAGTGACTTGTAGAGGACAAGTTAAGATAGTTACATAAAATACCATTTCTACACATCGCTGATTTTAAAAAAATCATAATAGAGGTAGATTTTGTTTTCATGTTCCTCTTATTATTTGACCATTATGAATTTCATCATAAATATTAGGTGTATTGCTTCCAAAACTTGTGAATGCTATATTCCACTACCATAAAAAATACAAATATTATTAGAACCAATGATATAAGCATTTGTAATATGTTTTAATAATAATAATTTTATAAAGCACTTTTCAAATAACTATGTTCCATTTCACTGAAAATTTGGTGCTAATATTAAAAAAGCATGAAACTCTCTCAACTATATTACCTTAGCTTGAACATATATTGCTCAAGGACTGGTAGACCCACTGTTATTACAAAAAATGATTAAAACAAATGTATATCTAATAAAATTGATTAGGATTTTTGATTGAAAGGTTGACAAGAATTTTCTCTCTTTTGTAATTATAATAATTTTCAGCATTTCTGAGATCACTATCTTTTTGTATTTCATGGCAAAGTTACTAAAGTTATCTACCTCCGTCCGTGCAATTTTCATACAGTACAGGAGCAATGTTATGTAGGACTGGCCTAAGCAACAATATGCTACCTACTATACCAGTCAAATCAACAAAGCATCTGTTTCTTCTGTGTTAAATTGGAAGAAACATACATGAAATTCTCTAAATAAAATATTTTTATATAAAATCTGAATATATTAGTAACAATACAGAACCTTTTAAAGTTTGAATATTTTTGAAAATGAAATCAATCTAAACATTTTACATTACTCAAAGAAATGAAATTCTCTTTGCATAAATATATTTTTAATTTTAATTTCCGAGTTTCGTAATTTCATGAAAGCAGTAAACAGTTCCTGGAATACTTTAAGTACTGTTCTTTTGTTATTTGTATAAATTCTCTGTGATCATACTTAATAGGTATTCTAAGATTAAATAAAGATTTTTATAATATTATAAATACAACTATGATTAAGTCAAAAGCACCAAATAAAAAAATTCAAACATTTTTTTTATCTCAAACTTTTCAAGTACCTATACTGTACAAGAAATGCTGTTCAACCCAAGCAAATAGTCAACATATTGACAAGCTATGCATATAAGTACAAAACTTAGCATAAAAAGCTGTGTACCATGAGAGGTTGAGCCATAAAGCTTTAGTTTCCAACCTCAATATGCAAATATATGTGACCTGAATTCTTAATCTTAATTTCAACAGTTAAAACAATCTTGAGCAATATGCAGCTTGAAGTAATGTACAAAAGTAGTTTCCTAATGCTGCACTCCAAATATTGGCTGACAGAAACTAAGGAGAAACTTACAAGCAAATGTGCAAAGTATTGTGAGAGGTATTTTCCTTATTTTAGACTATATGTTAGCTGGTCAAACACTAAGTAGAAACTTTATAAGCAGATTCACAGAGTAATGTACAGAAGTAGTCTCCTAATGCTACATTCTATATGCTGGCTGAACAAACACTAAGAAAAAATTTTATAAGCAGACTGACAAAGTAATGTAAAGAAGTTGTCTCTTAATGCTATATTTCAAATGCTGACAGAACAAATTAAGGAGCAAGTTTAATTCCAGAACAATCCCCCCCAAATAGCAATGTTTAATTTATTTATTTAACAAAATTCTCAAAAAAACTATGATATATGTGAATATTTTTTTTTCTCACAATGAATAAAACTCCAAAAGGTTTTCCCAAAAACTTTCATTTGTATAAAAGCTTAGAATATAAAATATTTCCACATACTAAAAAGGATGCATTTGCAGCTGTGACTGTTCCATTTGGTCGAATAAAGGCTGGTTTGAGTTTGGCCATTTGTTCCAAAGTAGAAACTCTGATTCCATTGTCCCGTGCCACAGGCAGCTCTGTACCTTGAAACACAAATGTAATTATGTTGTTGACATTTCACTGTAGCCTTACTTCTATAATATTTTACATTTATAAAGCAACTTTCTAGAACTCCATTCCAGAAAACATCAACATTCATACAGTATGTTAAGTACTACTATATTATAAATTAAAACAACATATCCTAATGAGGCTAAAGTTTTATTACAGTTAGAACATTAACATTCATAGTTTAATAATACTGTTTTATAATGGATAAATTAAAAAACATAACCTCATAAACCTATAGTTTTATTAAAGTCAGAACAGTATTATCCATTATGTAATACTACTGATATTTTATATTGGATAAATATTTTCTGATAGTTGGTGGACAAAGTCTGCTTTTTTGCATGTTATTATTCTGTGTTCTTTGATGCATTATTTAATTAAATAAAATATTATTTATTGCAGTAGTACCATTAGTATAAAAAAGTAAGGTTAAGTTGACAGTAAACACTAAAGAGAGACGACCCAGGTAAGTCCTTTATTTCTTGTTTTTCATGCATATATTATATTTACTGTTATAAAAATAACTAAAATATTAGAAACTTTTTAGGTAAGATTAGGTAAAACAAAGAATAATAAGAGTAAAAGTTTTCACGAGGTATACTTACGAGCTTCCCGCAAGTAGCCCATGTGTTATGTAATTCAATACAGCAACATGACCTGCAGGTTTGCCAAGTAATTTCAAATTTAATGTCAGGAATATTAGTTTAGGCACGGTTTAACCCTTTCGATATTGTTCACGGGTGAAAGGCCATGTCATCTTGTTTGTTGACTCGCATTCAAAATTTTATTGAACTACTATTTCATGAATTCATGCCAATAACTTTGGTATCAAACTGTAGATTATAATTCAAACTTTAGTACTATATATTACTAAATTTCTTAATTTAAAAGCAAATATTAAAAAAATACAGATATACATCAATTTTTGGGTGTCACATGTTATGATGAAAACAGCACTGGTTCAAATTAAATGTTTGTGAAGTCAAAATACTAAGTCTATAGATTCGTACAAATTAGAAACTCAAATTGACAAGTTAGAATATAAAATAAGAGCCTCTTATCTTTTCAATTTGCTAAGATATTGCTCATGTAATATATCAAACACAGTAGCACCCCACTCATTTCTTTCCATTTTTTGAAACCCTCCCTTATATACACGTACTTCT